AATCACCATTGGAACAGTAATAATTGTCGCAGGCATGATCTGCTGATGGATGCTAAAATTAGTGGGAGAAGGTTTGAGGAGAAAGATGATATTTGCATAGTCTCAAAGTATCTTCCTAAAGAGGAAAATGGATAGATGAGGCAAACTAGGGTGCTATAGGGATGTGTTTGTCCAGAATATTCTCCTGAAATATGCCCTTTGTATTCAGAACAGGAAAAGCAAGAGATTCAGTTTTAAATTGCATGGCCAGGACTTCATGGGTTCAAAAGAAACAAAAAGGGCCATCGCTGTTCAGAGACTTTCAATTAGGCCTGAACTGGATGTTAACCTGATCCCCAAAATGGTCTCCTTTCTCTACACTGAAGAACCGAATGGGCTCATTCTCCTCCCCCAAGTCCCTATCCCAACCTCCAAGTCCTGGGCTTGCTTGCTGGGCTTGCTCGCTGCCAGGCAGGGTGGTGGTGAGTTTCACAGACTAATCGCAGCGTGCGGATCAACTGGGTTGCCTTTCGTTTCCTCTAGATTTTCAGGTTATTTGTGTTGGCACAGGGCCACGTTCAGCTCTTCCCAAGTTTGAACATATTCTCATAAAGGGCTGGTCTCACCATCCTCATCTTGGTTGGAGCCAAAATCTGGTTTCATTTTTCGTTAAACTCCCATTTGTAACTTTCATTGAACAGAATGACAACATGTCTGTCTTCATTCAGTATTTTCACAAGAAAGGGCCTTTTTTTGCCTCCCATGAGAGGGTGTGTGTGGTTTATTTATCTCCTCCGTTGTGCAATAGATTCACCACCATTACAACCAATGCAATGTTCTAGAGAAAAATGTTGCTGTATCACATGGTGACGTCACTCCAGTTGGCAGTGATTGGTTTCTCATCTAGATCCACCAAAGCCTACACCTGGGTCTAGATTGCATCAGACCTGGGTCTAGACCTGGGTCTAGATTGCATCATCAGAGACTTCTCTGGTTTGATTGTGAGTGAGGGCCTGGAGGGCTGGGACCGCTTCCTGCCCATCTTCATCTGCCCGGGGTCTGACACATAGTAGGAGGTGTGGTAGTGTTGTTCACCAAATATTTCCAACTCATCCATTCTGGGGCCCTTGTAGGGCTGCATTTCCTAGCCCTCTGTTCCTGGGTGCAACTATGTGCTCAGTTCCAGCTGATAGTTGGGAGCAGAGATGACATACATCATTTTTCTAGGCTAGAGCATTTAAATGCTTGTGGTCCACAGCTCTCTTTTCCCTCTAGATCAGCAAGTTGCAGGGTTTAAGAAGGATGCCTTTTGGATACCTGAGTGACTGCATAGGTAGAAACCCCCTTCTAACCTGTGATGCACACATAATGTAAGAAATAAAGCTTTGTCACATTAAACACTGAGATTTCAAGTGTTGTTTGTTACTGCAGCATAACCTAGGCTACCCTTACTGATACCATAGGCATAAAATAAATGTTTGTTGAATGAATGAATGACGTAAGCCAGAAGAAACTTCTGAACAGTGTTGCTGTAGAGTTTCCATAAAAGAGAGATTCAGGCATGGTCATCTGATTACAAGTGTGTGGGAAGTTAGGGTTGTGTTGGCCAGGGGACTTTTCTTGTTTTGTTTGTATAGTACACTGTTTTTATTAGATAGCCTTTATTTGGGGTGTGAGAGTGTTGATGGAGATTATGTGGGGCCTAAAACACCCCAAACCAACCCGTGGCATTATCACTGGAGTTTCAGTTGAACTTGTCACCTGCTATGTATTTTACAAATGGGGAAACTGAAACACAGACTAAATGACAATACTGATTAGTTAGTGGCAAACCGGTAGACACCAAACCCCTCATTTCCTGATTGTCTGGTGCTTTTGCCCTCCCATCATTCTACCTTTCATAGCCAGGTGTAAGAATGCTGGGGCTCGAGAGTCACACTCTGATTGACTCTAGTCCTGGCTCTACCACTTACTAGCTGTGGACCTTTGAGAGAAGCTACTTAACCTCTCTGTGCCTCGGTTTCCTTAGCTGTACAGTCCTCAGTGGGTTGCCATGAGGATTTCCTGACATCAAGTATAAAGTATGGAAAGATCTAGCAATGTTAGTTGATTATTATCATTATTCTAGATCCTTATTGCACTGTCTTGCCTTACATCTGAGTCTCATGTTCTCTTTGTGTTCTGTTTCCCTTGAGAAACAGAAATAATGAATCTGTTGGAGACCATCGTGTGGTATATTTCTGGATTATTTGGCCACAGGTAAATTGCATTTGAAGTTCTAAGAGCTTTGGCCTGAGCACTGAGGAGCCTCTTCCGCCTCCCTTTGCTGAGAGCCAACACTAAGAGATCCACCCGTGGGAAGTGGGCAAGGAGACAAGGACTTCTGCCCCACCCCCATTCTGTCTCTGCCATGTTTGCTGACTGCTCATTGCCTGCAGATCAAGCTTCATCACTGGCTCAAAGACTCTGTGGGGCAAGAACCAAAGTCACCCTCTTTCCAGTTGCTGGGCCATCAGCCCACAGACTTTGGATAAATATTTAACCACAAATCCTGAGCACCCACAGCCTCCCTTTATGTCACCAGACAGTACCTGTGTAGGAGGCATATGACCAGGGCTCCCCCTCTTAGAAAGGCAGAGAGCCCTGTGGCCAGAGGGTTGGGGTTCCCTCCTTTGTCCCAGCCCTTTTCCTCTTCTGTAAGTCCTTATGTCAGAGTTCTATGGATCTGGGAGTGTATGTCAAGAAGAATGAGTTTGGCTGGAAGTGTATCAAAATACGAATTTTTAATTTTAGGGTAAGGGCTGTCTCATTTGTGTGTTTTAGACATATTTCCTTAAAGTGCTTTTTTTCACTAAGAGTAAGTTTGTTTAAAGGAAAAGCATACTTATTCTGGTATCTTAATTTTAGAAAACTAAGGAACTTTTAAAATGAGATATACATATTTTAACTTTTTATTGCAGTGAAACATACATACAGAAAAGCACACGTATCTTAGGTGATCAGCTCATTGATTTTTCATGAACATAATAGATCCATGTAACCAGCGCCCAGATCAAGAAGCAGGACGTCACCTGCACCCCCTAAGCCCTTCTTATTCTCCCTTGTTACTCTAGTCCAGTTCCTCTAGAGACTGCTATCCTGACTTCTAACAGCATAGATTAGTTTTGCCTATTTTATCCTTTATAGAAATGGAATCATACAGTATCTACGTTTCTGTGTCTGACTTCCTTCACTCAACATTGTTTCTGAGGTTGGTCTGTATTCAGCATAGCAGTGGCTCATGCATTCTTATTGCTGTCTGGTATTCCATTTTGTGACTATAGCACCACATTGTCTGCAATCCATTCCACTGTCGATGGACATTTGGTTTGGGTGGTTTCCAATCTGGGGCTATTACACATGTACTGGTACAATATTCTAGTTCATATCCTTTGGTAAACATATGCACTCATTCGTGTTGAGTATATACCTGAAAGGGGAACTACTGGCCATATATATGATACCTGTACGCTCAGCTTCAATAGATTCTGCCAAAGAGTATTCCAAAATGCTTGTAGCAATTTACACTCCCAGTAGCAGTTTAGGAGAATTCTGGATATGAAGACTATTTTATAGTAAGTCAAACAAATGTAAGTGTTAAGTTAATTCAAACGGAAATCATTTAACCCCTTGGAGTAACACTGAGTCTGTTTATTAAATACATCGTTTTCCTCTTATCATAACTTCTAACTTGTTAAGTGACCTGGATGAGCTTCTTGACCTCTACTCCTTGTTAATCCAACCAGTCAAAAGTCTCTCTGAAAACACCGTCCATTCATATATCCAGCTAGAATGTTGTGACTGTTAATAAATGGGTGTTTGCAAAACAAATTGAACCCCTTCTGCGAAGCGGTGTATGTATCTCGCCCATGATGTGTCTAATATGGCAGAGCCAGTCAAGATGTTCTCTGCAGATTTGTACTTTATGAACATCAAGTCTCCAGGGCTGTGAATGCAATTCAGAATCCAGAATTTTGTTCTGGTCCTGAATAAAAACGGTATATTCTGCAGATTTTAACGAAAGAGAACTGTGCCTTTTTAAAGTGATAAAGCATTTTGCAAATCCAGGTGCCATTTCACTATGAAGAGAAGCGGGGAGGGCGGTAAAAGGAGTCAGAGAGGGAATTCAGAGCGCTTATTTTTTTCCTGGTCTCTACAACTAATTCGTATCGTAGAACCGAACCTCCGTTTCTCCATCTGTAAAATGGGGTGATCTGTGAGTCTTATCCAGAGCTAGTTTTACTTCGATGAACGCGCAGAGTGAGAAGTTGCCGACAGAGAAAAGCTGTAGAAGGGACCAGGGATGAATCAATTCATATCGCTCCTTCCGCCCCCTTGCAGATAGAACGCCGGGGATCCCAGTTTCTAGGTCCCCTGTGTATTATGTTCTTCATCAGGAAACCACGGAACTGAATCCTTTACCAGGACATTTCTCTTTTACTGGTCTCTCCAAATTCCCCTCTCAAGTGATCTCTGCATTCGGGAATACTCTGAATGCAGGGGCGACCTCGACCTTGGGACTCCTACCCATCACAGCGCGCGGCGCTGAAAGTGGTGGAACAGACATTTGGGTACCAGGGCGACCCCTAAAGGTGACCCGCTGGGTGTGGAGGTTGGGGTCCCCCAGGAGGTGCGCGCTGCGCTGCACACCCAGCATCCGAGAGGCCAGCGGGCCTGGGCGCCCGGAAGCGTCTCGGGGCGCCGGCCGCGGTGGGGTGGGCAGCCGGGCCCGCGGCCCCCACTTCTGCCCCCCTCGCGAGCCCGCAGCTCCCCGCTGGGCTTCGGCCGGCCGCGCCGCTGGCTCCCTCCCTCCTCCTCGGCGCCCCGCCCGCTCCCCACCTCCGCGCCCAGCCTCGCGGCTGCCGAGCGAGCGCAGGACGCGCCACGCCGCGCCGGGCAGCTGGAGAGCTGGCGGGCGAGCCGTCCGGGAGCGGCGGGGGCGGCGCCCAGCCCGCGGGAGGGAGGAGGAGGAGGGACGCGGCCAGAGGGAAAGGGGAAAAGGAGGGCCGGAGGGCGCCAGTAGTCAGCCCGGCGGCCGGGACCGGCAGGTAAGCGCACGGCGTCGGGACGTCGGGACGGGGCTGTCCCCTCGGGCTCCCGAGAGCTAGCCCGGAGAGCTGGCGACGGGGCGCGGGAGGCGCGGGCGCAGCGTCTAGACCTGGAGGGCGACGGCACGGCGGCGCGAACGCTCCTTCCGCCCGGCTGCGGCTCCGAGCGGGGCCCGGGGCCGTCCTGAAGGGCAGGGGCAAAGCGCCGAGCCCGGGGGCTGCCGGCACCCCGCGGGTGGGACACTGCGCGCCGTGGGAAAGGGGGCTCCGAGGGGAGACGTGTGTGTCCAGAACCTTTAAACGGACTCAAGCTCTCCCCACCCGTCCGGGAAACGGAGCCACGAGCCTTACTGGCGCGGGCGGTGCGCGAGACGCGACCCGGGAACTCGGCTCGGCGCGCAGGGCCGTGGGTGCGGCGGAGCCTGCGGAGCGCGAACGCGCCCCGGGCCGACGGCTGGGCGCGGCACCACCTGGCGGGGCCCAGAACAGGTGGCCTGGGGCGCGGAGGGACAGAGCAGCAGCCCGGAGTCAGGGGGTGATCCTGCGGAAAGGGGAAGGCTGGTGGTCCCCAGGGAGCGCATTTGGGCAGGGATTTGAGTTTCGAGGCTCTGGAACTGTATATGCAGTGAGAGGGGAGAAGAGACCTGGCCGACCTCCTGAGAGCCAGAGGAAGCAGGAGCCAGGTTTTCCGTGGCAGTTTCGACAGTGACACTTTTTAGTCTGTACTGTGCACAAGAATTCTCTGGGGATCTTGTTAAAATGAATTCTTTTTTTTTTGAGACAGAGTCTCACTCCGTTGCCTGGGCTAGAGTGCTGTGGCGTCAACCTAGCTCACAGCAACCTCAAACTCCTGGGCTCAAGCGATCCTTCTGCCTCAGCCTCCCGAGTAGCTGGGACTACAGGCATGTGCCACCATGCCTGGCTAATATTTTCTATATATTTTTAATTGTCCAATTAATTTATTTCTATTTATAGTAGAGACAGGGTCTCGCTCTTGCTCAGGCTGGTTTCGAACTCCTGACCTTAAGCAATCTGCCTGTCTAGGTCTCCCAGAGTGCTAGGATTACAGGCGTGAGCCACTGCACTGGCCTCAAATGAAGGTGAGGCCCGGGTGTCTGCATTTCTAACAAGCTTCCAGTTGCTGCTGTCGTTCCGTGGACCACACTTTATGTGGCAGGCCCTACAGAAGTACCTTTTGTCCAACAGGCGGAAAACCTTAGGAAAAGTGAGCTATCCGGAGATGAGGTCCTAAGACTTTACTGTCTATACAAGGTCTGTCCGGGAAGTATCCAGCGATGGTTAATATAAAGAGAACGGTGTTTTTCCTGTTACATGGCTGGATATTTTCCGGACAGACCTCGTACATATACACCCCACCTCTTTGTCACCTCTGTCCCCAGACACGCACATTAAAACGGTTGCTACTGGAGGGGCCCAGGGAAGACTTTCCCTTCGCCCTCTGAGCGTTTGCTGAAAAATTAACTGACAAAAGACAGATTAAGTGGAGAAAAGGCATATAAATTTATTAACGTGCAGTCGGGGAGAATCACAGAGTGATTCCCCAACCCCCCAGTGAGGTACAATATATACCAGCTTGAGGTTAGTGAAAGAATGCCTGCTCTGAGCTTGGCCAAAAACAGGTTTTAGGAACGGGGAAAGAGGTGGCCTGGCTTGCAAAGGTGGTCTTTGTTATGTAAACAAAACCACACAGGTAGCTGCCCTCAGAGAGGAGAGAAAGTAAATGTTTCTTTCAGACCATTAAAGGTGTTGGCAGATTCTCTACAAATGCAAATCTCCCGCACAAAGGACAGATTTGCAGGGTTACTTTTGTTTTCTGGCTCTCTAAACAGCCATCCCAAAATATATCAAAGAAATATATTTTGGGGTGAAATATTTTGATTTCCTTCACTACTCATTGAATAGCAAAACACTTTACTTTTCTTACCAACTTTCTAGGCAAATACATTATCTAATAGCAAAGATGGCTCCATGGGCATGCAACTTGCCCTTGGTTTATTGCCGAAATTCTGAATAGTTTTTGAACAAGGGGCCTTACATTTTCATTTTGCACTGGGCCCCACAAATTTTGTAGCTGATCCTGTCTAATTGTCACCATAGGTGGAAAAAGGATCCATTTCTTTGATCAGTGTTTGAGCTGGTAGGTGGTGAAGAGTTTTATTAAAGGTGAAAGTTTTATTAAAGGAAGACTAGCTAGATGTTGCAGTTCCTCCAATCTTTGTCAACTTCTCTTTGGCTACCTGAAGAGGCAAGCCTATGAGTATAACCCCAGGCATGCATGGTATGACAAAATCGATCGCTTTATTAATATTCATAGCTAACAAATTATTAAGAGCTTGATTATTGATAGACAATACAATTTTGAGGTTGAAATAATTTGTAAATTAATTGACAAGATTTGTATGTTATTTCCAAAGCATTTGGAAAGACTGTATTTGGCGTCTCATGGAATTTTGCTTAGTTAAGATCTAAAATGAGCTGGACATTCGTTGCTTGGTTTGGCTGATTCACAGCTCAAATGCAAAACTGGAAAACAAAAAGTGGCCAAATTTTGTAGCTGTTCAGGGGTATTGTTTTACAGGACCTCAGCGTGATGCCAGCCCTGATCAGATTCCCTTCTGCTTTTATCATTCCCACATCCCTGCAAGGTGACTTTCATGAAAAGGTGGACAGAGCAAATTTAGCTATTGCAAAACACTGAAGAAATGCAGGACCAGCATCAGTGTTTTGTCTGATGAATAAATCTTGCCCCAAACACACAGATTCCAGGTGTGTGTACTTTGCTAGAAAAAAAAATGTTGGAAATGTGGAGGAGAAAAAGTTGAACTCGAATTATGGATATGATTTTGTTCAGCAGAGGGAGAAAAAGTCTGAGAAATGGAACTTCATTTCATTGGCAGGTTTGGCAGGGAAAGGAAAGCCGCTATGTTTTTAGTACTGTGAACAGCCTTCCAGAAATGGCAAAGTGAGTTTGCTCAGGTGTTAGGGAGAGCCAGCAAAGAAGCTGATTTTCCATGGCTGATGTGATCCTTGTGGGGACTTGGTGGGGGGACATCACCATATGTTCTTGGTGCTTTCACTGCACAGATGAAACTGAACACATTTTTCCATTTTGCTGCCTGAGAGTGCCAAGTCACTTTCAAATACACAATACAAACTGGGAAGAGCACAATTAAATTATAAAAAGGAGAGAGGGGAATGTGTCTCTGTAATGTTAATAGTTCAGAAGATAGAAAGGAGGGATTCTGACTTTAGTAAAAACCTGGGAGCTGGTTTTTATGCCTCACTGAGAAAGGGCTTTCCTACCTCAAGACAGAAAAAAAGTTCTTTTAAAATGTTAATGGATTTTAAAATGTGTAGGTCTTTAATCTGCTTGGAACTTATTTGGGGGCATGGTATGAGGTCCTGGGTAGTGGAACTTAAGAAATGGGCCAATATTTGGGGAAAATTATTATAAAGTAAATTCCCTCAATCACGTAAGATTCTGGTGAACACTCTGTTCCATTTCATAAATCTGTTTAATTCTTGAGTCTATTCCATGTTTCTTAAATTGAGGTATCATTTATTTACAGTAAAATTTACTTTTTAATGTATAGTTCTAGAAGTTTTGACAAATGCATACAGCCATGTAACCACTACTATATCAAGATATGGAAGAATTCCACCACTCCAAAGAATTCCTTGTTGACTTCTTTAGTCAACCTCTCCTATGGCTCTCAGCCCCTGGCAACCACTGATTTGTTTTCTATCCCTATAATTTTATCTTTTTCAGAATGTCATACGAATGACTTACTATACCATGTAGCCTTCTGAATATGGCTTCTTATACCTGGCATAATGCATTCAGATTCATCTATGTTGTATGGATCAATAATTCATTCCTTTTTATTGCTGAGTAATATTCCATGGTTTATCCATTCCCCAACTTTTGGTGATTACAAGTAAAGCCAATATAAACATTCACCTACAGCTTTTTGTGTGAATATACATTTTCGTTTCATTTGGGTAAATACCTAGAAGTAGGATTACTGTGTTGTACAGTAATTTTAGCTTTATCAAACACCGTCCAACTTTTCCGAAGTGGCTATACTATTTTGCATTCCCGCCAGCAATGTATAGGAAATCCAGTCACTTGGCATCCTTGCCAGCACTTGGTATTGCTGCTTTCTTTTGTTTTAGTCATTCCAGCAGGTTTATGGTAGCATCTATCTGTGGTTTTAGTTTGTTCTTCCCTGATGATGTTGGGCATCTTTTCATATGCTTTTTCGTGATTTGTATATCTTCTTTGGTGAAGTGTTTGGGTTTTTTTCCTCATCGTGTTTGTCTGATCACTGAATCATGAGAGTTCTTTATATATCCTCATACAAGTTCTCTGTGGCTCACCTTTTAATTTTCCTAATGATGTTTCTTTGAAGAGCAGAAGTTTTCAATTTTGATAAAGGCTAATTTATCAGGTTTTTTGCTTCTATGGATAGCATTTTTAGTAACCTAATATGTATACCCCAATTTCACCAAGATATTTTCCTGTGCTTTTTTCTGGACATTTTATAGTTTTATCATTTCTATGTAGGTCTATAAATTCATTTCAAGTTAATTTTTATATGAAATAAGGGTCAAGTTCACTTTTTTCCATATAGAAAGACTGCTTTTCCCTCATTGTATCTTCTTGGCCCCTTTGTCAAAAATTGACTGTATATAATGTGGGTCTGTTTTTGATCTCTCTGTTTCGTTCCCTTGATCTGTATGTCTGTCCTTATGCCAATGCCACTCTGTACATCTTACATGGTCTTGTTAGGTGCATTGCTAGATTGTTTTGCGTGTGTAATTTTTACTGCTTTTAGAAATTCTATTTTTTCCCCCCATTTCACTTCCTATACTATTGAGTAGGCAGGCTGTTTAATTTCTTTTTTTTAAATCAGAAACCTGTGCATAAGAATTTATTAGAGTTGTTTATTAGCATAAGGATCATCTTCAAACCCAGA